TGACGCCACGGCACTCTAGCCCGGGCAACACAGTGAAACTCTGTCTCAAAAAACAAAAAAAAAAGAAAGAAAACCCGTGGATCTTCCTGGGAAGACACCTCAGTTCACCAGTGTCTGTTGTCCAGGTCCACCCCATGCAGGACAGTGCGTCCCTACTGAGACATGGGGCTGACCCCACGCCCCGCCCAGGGGCGCATTGCGGGGGACAAGCGGTAAGAAATAGTAGGACTTTTCCTAGAAATCTGCATCACAAAGCAATGAGGAAAACTTTAGACAATGTATGTCTTTCTTGGCTGTTTAAATTAGTAACGACATATATCTGACCCAGAAGAGATCACGTGCATGGATGCTCATCTACATTTTTTGTACTATAACATAACGGAAGGAGGGAAGCAAACCTCATTCGCGGGTCGTCAGGTGGCATCATCTCCAGGTCGTGGGTGGGTCCATTTAAGCCGATGACGTGCAGGGAGATACTGGGGTTTTCACATCCAGCCTGGGGATTGAAAGGGGACAGCTGTGAGTCAGCGACCTCATGCCTGGGCAGCCCCTCGGCTCGGCAAGGCTTTCCCAGGAGGGTCGGGACTCCAAGAATTCTGGAGCTCGGTGCGAAGGTGCAAGATCTATGTTGAGAACAGATCACGCGTGTGCAGAGTTTCAAAAAGGACAAAGGGCTGCTGATCAGCCACTCCTTTTCTTCCCCAGGAATCCCACCCGCTTCCCATTCCGCCCACCTCCCCAGCCTGCTAATGCTGGGCGGGACCAGCCACCTGCTTCACTGCCACCGGAGGGGAAAGAGAAGACAGACCGAGGAGGCGGAGAGCAAAGACGGAAGCGGAAGCGGAAGCGATGCTGGGCAGGAGACTGTAGGGTGAGCAGGTGAGGGCAGGGAGCAGGGCCCACGGCTTGGCTGGGGAAGTTTCAGTCCTTCCCAAAGGAGCCAGCTCTGCTCTGCTCCCCTCTCCGAGGCACGAGGGATGAGTCCCAGCCTGGCAGGGGCTGGGGAGAGAGGTGGTGACTCCTTGCTGGGCGACCCCCGGGTCTGGTCTGATGCCCTCGCTTCCTCCGCACCCTGTGGAAGATGTTCGGGGTCACAGGAAAGCAGCCCAGGACAGGGCCTGTGTCGGGCTACTTCACCCGCATGGCTCTGGTCAGGGAGTGTGTGGGAACAGGGCAAAGAGCATCTAAGTTCTGTTGGCCTGAATATGCTGATTTTCTACTGAAACACGAACCGCCAAATCCTGAGCAAACTGCGGTTTCATAATCCACGCTCTAGAGCACCTGTCCAGAGTTCCCTGTAAAAGCAAGGGATGGTCCTCCTGGCTTTCAGGTTATCGCTCCTAGACTGGGGAAACCATTCCATCTCCAGGGGGGCAGAGAAAGTCAGACGCCGGCTGTTCTGGGGTGGGTGTTGGTGTGAGGGGGGAAACGCAGAAGGGCCAGGAGGATTCGGCTCCGGTCCAACATCCACTCTATTCACTGTGCTTCCAGCTAAAACCCTGGACCCTCCACATGACGCAGAGTTAAGTCCAATCAAGATTAGTTAAGTCCAATCAAAAAAAGGAGTGAAAGAACCCTGTTGACAGCAAATCCATGTTGCGTTAACATCCAGATACGCTCAGACGGGGAGAAGGCGGAGGTGAAGGCTGTGGCCACAGCAGAACGGTGCCCCTGCATTCTGGGACTCCCTTGGATACTGGCCACTCTGTTCAAAGAGCTTTGGACAAAGAGTCTTATTACCAGGTGCTGTGGACCGAATGTGTCCCCTCGAATTCATGTATTGAGGCCCTAACCCTTGCTGTGATGGTATCTGGAGGTGGGGCCTCTGGGAGGTGATTAGGGTTAGATGAGGTCATGAGGGTGGTGCCCCTGGGATGGGATGAGTGCCCATAAAGGGAGAGGAAGGGATACCAGAGCCCTCTCTTGCCTTTCATGTGAGGACACAGTGAGAAGACGGCTGTCTGCAAGCCAGACAGCCCTCCCCAGACACCAGACTGTCCAGCATCCTGACCTGGGACTTCCAGCATCCAGAACTGTGAGAAATAAACTCCTGCTGTTTAAACCAGCCAGGTCTGGTACTTTGTGGTGGTGGCTCGAGTGGCTAAGATACCAGGAGTTTCCTTTCTCTGGTCTGTGACTCTGGGGACCCTTTTATCTCACGTATATGTTATCGCTCCTCTTGCTCCCAACGCTAGGCTGGTAGGTCTAGGTAGTGCTTATGGTAGGGAACCCGTGCACCACCAGCTTCCAGAGCTCTCTGGCAGGTTAGGACGCTGAGGTTCGAACGCTCCCTGGCAGAGGCTGGAGGGGTGGGAAGTGAGCCCCAGTCACAAGGCGGGGGCCAGGCAGTGAGCCACTCACCTCCACCCAGCCCAGTGGCCTTGGAGCCGTCTAGAGGAACCAGGGGGCAGCAGGGCAGTCAGCCCCGTGTGCCCAGGAGAGCTGCGTCTGCACTCAGACATCTCCACCTGAGCCGGCTGTGGGGGTTTGGCAGGAGGCCCTCCTTCCCACCGGGGTGCTGTGATTTGGTAACAAAGTGAGGTTCGGATATCCCTGCCCCTCACTCCACTGGACGCTTGCTGTTTACGGGCTCTCTGGGTGGGAGCGTGACTGTCTTAGTCCATGCAGGCTGCTAGAACAAAGTGCCCTGGCCCGGGCAGCGCACAGACAACACAGTGTATCTCACAGTTCTGGGGGCTGCGTGTCCAGGATCGAGGCCCTGGCAGGTTCGGTGTCTGCGGAGGGCACCTGCTCGCCGTGTCCTCACATGGTGGAAGTGGGGAGGGGTCCCTCTGGGGTCTCTTTTGTAAGGACACTGGTCCCAATCATGAGGGCTCTGCCCTCATGGCCTGATCACCTCCTAATGCCATTGCCTTGGGGGTTGGGATTTTAATGTCTCGATTTGAGGAGGACACAAACATTCTGATCATAGCAATGACCAAGCCCAAAACAGCCACGCCCAGACCCAGGGGACTGGGGCAGAGAATCCATCTGACCCCCTGGAAGCCAAATTCAAAAAAGCAATGCGAAGAGCCAGAGTGGGCAGTGTGAGTTTTTGTCGCCAGGGAGTCACCAGGTGGGGCAGTGTGTTCATTGTGGTTTAGCGAAGCTTAGTTGAATGATTTACAGTAGTTCAATTATTTAAACTACAGTAAACCAGCCAACAGATTCAACTCGGCAGAGATGGGAACGTAATGCACCGTAATGAGAGATAATTCATCTTTCCTGTTTGCTGCTTTGCTCATAAACACGTCCGAGTGCTGCATCTCCGCCCTGACTCTGCCCTGACTTGGGGGCTTGTGTGTCATGCGAAGCGTGCTCTCTGCGGTCTCCCCCGCCTACCTTGGGGTAGTGGTAGGGCCTCACGGTGGGGTACACGGAGCCGGTGTAGGTCGGGAGCTCCATGAGGGGGACACGGGAATCGTTGATGGTGGCGTAGGCGAGCCTGGAGCCATCCGGAGACCACCAGTGTGCAATGTGGGTCTTCAAAATCTCCTCTGAGGGAACAGAAAGAGCAGAGAGGTGTGAAGGGGCAGCACATGGAGCAGAAACCGAGGCTGCGCAGCGATTTCACCACGTGGCAGGAAACACGATGGGCCCACTTAAGTACTGAAATGGAAACAGGCTTCAACCAGAAACACCCATTGTTCTGTCTTGGCTCATCAGAGTTTCAACTATAGATGACTTTTGTAGAACCTGATATCTATTCCAGAAAAAAAATTCTACTGTGTTTTTGACATGTTAACGGAAGACACTTCCCAGTGCAACCAGTCAGAGCACTGGGGGCCAGAGAATCCATCTCATTGCGAAACAGCTCTTAGGTCAAGGGATTCTTTCTCGTACAGGGTCTTGTACAGTGTAACCGACCTGAAAACACGGTGACAAATCAGAACGAGTGTGTACAATACAACAGAGAACCAGATAGATTAGAATACTGTTCAGGGAGGTCACCATCACAGCTCGGGAGGAAGTGGGCAACATCAGCAGCCTCCCAGCTCCCGGGGGCCATGGGGGAGGAGAAGGGATGGCCAGGACGAGGGTCCCTGGGGAGGGCTGGGGGTCAGCGTGGCCCTGCTGCTCACACTCCGCCTGGGTGGCGGCCAGAGCTGCACTCGCCCGCACCCTCTTCACTAAGTGCCTTCTCCCTTGGCCTGCAGGGCCGGAGCCTGGAGGCTCCCCGTAGCCTGCAGAAACCCCTGCCGAGTGGGGCACAGGGTCTGTGCCCGACTCCACCAGGCACAGAGGAGTCTCAGGAAATACGAAGCCTGCGGTGGTCTGACTGCCGTCCCCCAGGCTCCCCCGTGGCTGGAAACCAGTGCTCAGGAAGCCTGGGTCCGCGCCCCCAGCTCTGCTCTCTGTGGAGCGAGGGGCACAGTGGCCCCTGGAGGCCCCTCCACCTCGGCATCCTGCCCACGTCCTCAGCAGCGTGTCCAGTGCCCACGAAACTCAAAGGTCGCTGAGGCGCGTGAGGGGGAGAGAAGAAGCCGGGCCAAACCTCGGGGCTTGTAATTTTCCAGTGTCTGCAGCAGCCAGGAGAGTGACATTCAGGTGCGAGTTTGGAATGAGGTGATTCAGAAGTGACTTTCCACAGAGTCACCGGGTGCACCTGGGCTGCGCGTGGAATGGTGAGTAATAGGCGCTGGCAGATGGTCTGCTGGAAAAAACAGGCACCATTTGCAAGGCAATTTGCGGGTGATTGTGCTCGATCACTTCTGCACTGAGGGCTGGGAGGAAAAGGGCGGACGGCTCCAGTGAATCCCCGAGTGAGCAGAATTCAGGGGGCAGAGGGAGGAGGGAGCAGCACCCCAGAAATCAGCGGAGGAGCCCTGCAGCAGTTTCCATGGGACATTAATTCACAGCCTACTCAGGAAAATCCGAAACAGAGAAATGGCTGGCAGAACAAGGGCTTTATAAATGAAGCAGCTTTGCGGAAAAGCAAACAAACAACAAAACCCCCGAAGAGACAATTCATCTGTTTCTTCTCTTTGAACCCAAAGCAATCTCCCGAGACCAGAGGGATGACAAATGGGTCTCTGGTGCACAATCAGGCCACTGTCATCGTACCGAACAGGCTTGGCGAGAGGTGGCCAGGCGAGGAGGGCGGGGGTCACTTCTCTTTTCCACTCATCTTTTTCTACATCCCATGTCTAGACTTGCCCTCAGACCTAACGGAAATGCCACTGCTTGGCTCTGACCTTGGCCCTGACCTCAAACACGCAGGGACAAGAGATAGAAAATATGGATAAAAGCTGGCCCTGAGGCTCGGCTGAGAAAAATCTATTTCCATCAATGCCATCACCAAACACCAGAGTATCTGCACAGAGCTCAATTTATTGTTCAGAGAACCTGGAAGCAGAAGAACGATCACTGCAGATTATAAAATGTAACGGTTGGAAGGGAACTTGGAGACCATCTAGTGCAGGGGTGACGAATATCTGGTGTGGGGCAAAGGTCAGTTCCTTTCCACGCCATCGCACAGTGAGACGTGGCTCACACAGAGAGTCCCTCATGCCAGAAGGCCAACCACAGAAAACTGGGACGGCTTTAGTTCATTTCCCCGAAATGTCCCTTTAACACATTGTTCCTTGGTGTTTTTATTTTTCTGTATGTTAGCTGCTCATTAAAGAGACAATTAAGTATAAGAAACTAAGGGGCCAGGCAGAAGAAACCTTGACATTTTCCATTAATTATGAGTGTCCCTGTTCTGCAAACACTTTTTCCAGGACCCCAGATTAATGAAGCACTTGGCTTAAATACCATGCACCAAATGCAGTTTAGGAACAGAGTTTTGCAAACAGAGAAAACACTTATTTCATCAACTTAAATTAATTGCATGAAGCTTTGCCCTGGAACACAACGAATAACTTGGAATTTTGAGCAAGTACGACTCACTCAGAAAACTAGAGGATACAGCTTTCCTTCCCCTTCCCTGTCCTGTCATCATGAAAGCAAGATACATTGGGGGACATCTGTCAGCCAATGGCTGCCTCTCTCTTGAAGACATCGAAAGTTTTAGCCATGCAGCTTGAGCCCATAGGAGGGTCTGAGCTGATCTTCCTCCCTTGTCATTGTATCTTGAAGAAGCCAATGCCATTATTTGAAGTGTTATTCAGTTTTGCCAAACAGCATCAAGGGCGTATTCAGTAGGACAAAATCCCTTTGGGCTCAAGGTGGCAAGGGCCAATCCAACACTCCCGCGTGGACCTCACAGGTCTGCAGTACGGTGCGAGCTCTGGAGGCCCTCACTTTCAGACGGGGCTCCCCTGGCAGCTCCCCTGAGCCAGAGCGTTCCAGTCGACACATTCCCGAGTGGAAGACAGAGTGCCCGCCAGGTACCATGTCAGGAGTCTGCAAAGGACCCAAGCCCGGGAAAGAATAGTTCCCCCATCTGTCTCCTGACAGCTCTTTAACAAGGAGAGACCTCACTTCTAAATGAGAGCTGAAGTGCCGTATGCAGGTCCCCGGGGAGCAGCGGCTGCGCACGTTCGCTGAGCCGGGTGTCAGTGGCCAGAACGGGGAATCCCGATCCCTAGGTCTGACTGATGAAAGGTCACTGCGCAGCCGCAGGGCATGGGGGTTAGACAAGGCACCAGGATGGTCACAAAAGGCACCAAAAAGGAGGCCAGTGTTGGAGATATGCTTCAAATTCCCTTGGTGGCACTGTCTGGGGGTCCCCAAAGTGGCTGGCCACGCCCACCATTGACGTCTGGCCGGCAGAGAAATCCCGGGCAGACAGCGAGGCGCTGGCATGATGCTGAAAGGAAACAAGAGGCCGCAGGTGGCTGGGGTAGCAGCAGGGCTCCTCAGGACCCCGCTGCCCTTGTTCTCCCAGGTGCGGCAAGACTGGGGTGCAGGCCAGAGTGGGGAAGGCCTGTGAGCTCCTGATGGGGCTGTGGTGTCCGCAGCTGGAGCCTCCCATCTAAATCCCGCCACATGGACCCACGGCCTGTGCTCAGCTCGGGGGATGTGGAGGTGAGGAACACTGTCCCCCGTGTCCCTGCCCCTCAGCGGGGCTATTTCTGAACGGCCCGAAGTCACGGCCAGCTGGGATGCAGGACTAGCAAGGCTGAGTCCTCCTGCCCTTGCTTCCCAGGCAGTCACCTGCCCAGTGCACACCTTGGTTACTGTCTCTGTACCTGCGGCCTCACTCACCGTGACGGCAGGGCAGCTGCACCGGGAACACCCTGTTGCCCTGGTTTTCTGTCAGGAGCTGGAGCTTTGGGAATTCAAAGCTCATGTCTTCTTAGAGACAGAATGCACAGCTGCAGACTCCCCCCAAGGGCAGAGGATAGAACGCTCCTGACTCTACAGTGGCTGCAGAGACGGCTGGACCACTGCCTAAAGCCGGAGGAGCCAGGACAGCGCCTCTGTACCCGTTCTGCACTCCCAGGACTGATGAGCCCCGACAATGACCATTTGCTACTTTTCCCCAAGGTCAGTGTGTGCAGAGGCCTGGAGAGCGAGGCTGCAGGCGATAACGCCACGCTCAGTCCAGGGATCCAGCTCCTGGGGAAGGGCTCGGGTACACGGCCGCTGGGCGTGGGCAAGAACGTCAGAAACGTCTTCTGAAGATGAATCGTGATATTTCCTGACGCTATCTGGGGTGATCGATGCCCTTTCTCTACGAAGTCATTTATACCTCAGGATAAATGACTGAGTGCTGAGTGTGGCACACTGCATTCTCCAGAACTGGCCTCGGCGGCATTTCTAGGGCTTGACACTCCCTAAGAGGTGACATCCTTCTCCTTGAACGAGGGCACTCCTTTGAGCAGCCTGAGCCAACGGGACGTGGTACAAGTGACACTGTGTGAAGCTGTGCCGTGAAGGGTGGTGCGGCTCTGCCCCGGCGCGCTCACTCGTGGCTCCGTCCCCAGGCTGTGAGGACGCCTGGCCCCTCGGAGAGGCCACGCGAGCTGTTCCCGCAACAGAGCAGGTCTCAGCTGGCGGCCAGCGCTGACGGCAGGACTCCTGAGAGTGCCCTCGGATCTCGCCGGCCCCCCTCGCCGGGGGTGCAGAGGAGAGGAGAGAAGAGCTGTGCCTGGTTTGCAGATGTCAATGTTTTAAGCCATCGTATTTTGGATTACTGAGATCAACTGAGTTAAAAAAAAGTTTTCCACAGAAAAATGGAAAAGAGGAAACCTGAGCCAGCATGCTGGGCTCCTACACTCAGTTATGCTCTTTTTGGGTTTTCTCTCACTCCTCTTCGTTTTTATTATGGGCACTTGAAGAGGATTCCAGAACTTACGGCCCTGAGGCCTTCTATTCACCTGTGTCATGCCCAAACAGGTGACAGCGTGGCAGAGACGCTCTCCTGTTCCTCATTCGCTTGTTCACTCGCTCATTTGTTCACTCATTGATCCTCCGCCATCCACTCGTTTGGCCACGCGGGAGGCAAGTGGGTGGCGGACGTGCTGCGTGGCCACAGGGAGAGACCGGTTCACACTCTCACGGCGAAGTGGAGGCCAAGCAGGACGTCTGCTGGCGTGTACACTCTGCA